CTACCCCAGTTAACTATGTGTTTATCCCGCCATGAGTACCTACCTATTATACAGGAGGTATATGCTTATACATGTGTCAAGGTTAATATTATGTACCTACGACCTACCTAACGTAATAATGATTCTTATCAAATAAGACGAAATTGTATTATACTATTAGGTGCATAATATATCATTGAATATATTAATTTATTATAAACCCTTTAAATTTTTATTTTACTTTTTACTTTTATCTTGTAATACATTTTAATTTTCAAAACATAAATAATACCAAATAATAAAAATAGCCTAACATGATATACAGAAACAGCTTAACTCATTTCAGCGTATAGGTTATACCTATGATATTGGTGTCATAATTTTATACAACTTACCCAAAAAGCAATGTAGTTATTATAAGTTTTAATGCAAAATATGTAATTATAAACCATCTCATTTAAAGTGTTTAAACAAATCAGTAATGAACGAATCCCCGACTAACTATACATAGTAGGTACCAAAGGTACCTTATATCATATAAATATATACCTACCTAACTATATTATAACTTATTTACTTATATATAAGTGTAACTATAATAATATGGGTTTAAAAAATAAAAACCTTGCCCATAAATTGTAAATAACGTGTTAATATTTGTATTTTGTTTTAATGTATATAGGCAGTAGGCACCTCTTTGTTTAAATATTAAGTTAATGTAGACCAAAAACCTATGTAGTTGAAGCCTTTTACCAAATATATATAAAAAATTATAGATCTTTACATTTTAAGTCATATAGATAGGTAGGTGGTACTCATAAAATAAATAAATTATGAAAGATAATTTAAAGTTTTGGAATTAAAAAAAGAATAAAATAACTAAAATATGTACCTATATACATTATCTTTTTATGGTCGTCGCCCGTCGGTATAGATAGTTTTCCCCTACACTTTGGTCTTTGGGAAACTGTTAACAAATCAAACAATTTAAAGACCTAAAAACTATAGTTTAAATTTCCATTTATAGTAAATATATATATATGAGTTGTTAGTATGTAAGTACTCGGGCCGGAGAAGAAGCATGGGCCGGAGAAGAAGCAATGTGAGCAACAGTTCCTTCTCCGGCTCTCGATTAAACCGGAAAAAAAAAAAAAAAAAAAGTATGTAAGTACTGAATATTTTCACGTGATTGGTACAATGGTACTATAGGTAGTTGCTGCCCTGAGTGTTTACTTATTTCCCGGTTGTAACAATAAATTCGTTAAGACATGTGGATTGGCCCTGAAAAAATCATTATATTATATTATTATCACTATAGTCAGTTAAAGTGTCAAGCCCGGATTAAGGGAAGGGGTTCCCCCCGGGCCTCGATAGTTGGTATTTATTTAGGGGCCTCAGATTTGTCCGTTACTTTTTTCGTTATAGGCTAAAATACTGCTAAATCGCCTAAAAAAAAATCGATGATTATTTAGCGAGAAAAAAAGCTTGTAAATTATAATTTATAAATAAAGTGTTACATTATTCATTATTTATTGCTATGTACCTAATACCCAGTGGCGAATACAGGGGGGGTTAGGGGGTTGTACCCCCTCAAACTGTTAAATTATAACAACGTTATCATTAATAAATCATTTTCAGATAAAATTCAACAAAAATAAATTATGACCCCTCCTGAAAAAAAATCCTGGATACGCTACTGCTAATACCTATACATATTTATTATGCCAGGTACATAATATATACATTTTTTTTTTCGTACAGGGTCCTTATTTAAAACTGCCCCTGGATCTCAAAATGTTTTAATCCGGAATTATCTAGTGTCAATTGAAAGGAGTCCAATTTCACTTATTATGAAGGTGGTAGCTATGGAGACCGACTTCTGGTGAAGATTCCGTTATATGGTATACAAGTATTGACTTAAAATAGTTAATAACAGTCAGTAATATAATAATTAACAATAATATAATGTATGGGCGTATTTGGCAATAAATAGTTAAAACTATAGTATTACTTATAGTAATATAAATAAATTATAAAATATCCTGAGAAATAGAGGCTGATACACTACCTCCAATCAGAAGTCAGAATAGTTTTTCATGTATAATGATTTATCATTGAATTCAAATCCAATATATCCATTACAGTGACCTACTTAATGACAAGACAGTGGCGCCGATCTATATTTCATGTCATGGGGAAAAAATTCTGCTTTTAGACCCACCTACTTAAAAAATATTTTAGCTACTCTCAAATAGTACATTATAATCGCAATATACTACCTGATGACCTGCCACCTGCCATACTATTATTGAATATTCTTTACACTTACCATTATTGTTAAATTATGATGATGTTTAAATATTAAATACTACTAATGACTGATCACCTATTATCACCCACCTGATCCAACCATAAATAGTTCTAGTGAATTTACCCCAGTTAGTACCCAGGTTTAACGCCAAAAATGACAAGGTATACTTGAGACCTACTAAATAACAGACAAACTTCCTTGGTGATTTTATTAATTATTTACTATTCATTTTAATTACAGATACATTGCAATATTTAATTGATTTTAATATAATAATAAGTAGTATAACAGATAAAAAATATACTTTTGAATGATTAAAAGTTAAAACATTTAATTTCAATATTCATAGTACATTTTTAATCATCCGCACTAATCTGTTCCTTCTACAGTCCCAATTTAGAGAGGATAATTAACTATCTTATAATACCTTGTGTCATGTTGGGTGCATGTGTCAAACAATAAAATATTAACATTCAAAATATCTTATAACTAAGACAAAAAATACTAAATATATAATATTATATAATAATAAAAAAAATACAAGGTCTTGGAAAAAAAATAGAATAAATTATCACTTTCACCTAGGAACATTAAGTACAATTATTTTAGTGGTCAACTGCATAGAATAATTCTTGCAATGATAAAATTAATTAATATTTCCAAGTTACCCTAATTTCAATACATTATAATACAAAATCAATACGATAACATATATTATTTTAAATTATTGATTTGCTATAGCATTTTTTATGAACTAATGTTTTAATACATTTATATTGAATGCATTGTTAATATTTTACATTTGAAAATAGGCCCAGGTGGAGATGGGAAATATAACAATTCTCTTTGAAAAAATATTCATTCAGGAATATAGATATATTTAAGTCCAGTAAAAATATAAGTTACTACCTATATGAGTTTTAAACTATATTTTTAAAATTCTATGCATTTTCAACATTGAGACTAAACTAAAAAATAGTGTGGAATTAATTCTTAAGAAAAAGATTTATTTTAAATATTTAAGGGCATTGCCCAATTACTACAGCATGTAGTACTAAATTTAAATATACATACATTATAACATAATTATAGGAAATATATAATAAATAACAGGTCAGTTTTGAAAAATCAAATGTTGAACAAATATCAAAAATGTTCATTTCATAATTTTGTTATAAGAATGTTATAATGTATTTTAATACTGAAAGCAAATGAGTACCTATCACATAGACATCACTACTTTTAAAAACCATATTTTTTTTTGTCCATCATGTAACCCTTTTAACAAAGGATACCATAAAAGACCAAGGAGCATTGTAAAATGTACGATATAAAGTAAATTGTTACAAATAACAATAACATTATCAACAAAGGCTGGATAAGTAAACTAATTTTTTTAACTCTTAAAGTTACATAACTTTTTTTAATGAATAAAAGTTAGAAAAATGTAACTCAACTTTTATAAAAAGCGTTTATTGTGCTTTGGCATAGATGATAAATATTCTGTAAAAAAAATGTAACTGAATTTTTAATCTATGAAAAAAAACAATTAGGACATTTTATAAAAGTGAATAAAACAATAATTATCATAAAAACAATACATATGAGTAAGAGTAGTTTACAAAAAAAAAAAAAATAATAATAATAACAGAAGTTGTTAATCATTTAATTCAATTTTTATGAGATCAAAGCACCTACAAGATTTTTGGTAGTGTTATTTTTGAGATATTTGAAATTAATGCATTTTCAGTGATTTATATAACAATTGTGTTTATGTTACTTTGATCCCTATTGAAATCCAGAAATAATACATTTAATACTGGCAGTCTACAAATGTATTTAAGTACCACAATTTATTCACACTATACCATTATAATTTACAATTTATATTCCTGGTTATTTATTTTTTTATATTATTATGATTTATAAACACTTATTTATCCAAAACAAAATATATTTAAGAATGGGGTTTGTAAAAAAAAAATTACTTAATGTACAATGTTATATAATTAATTAACAGATAAGCAACTGCATATTATTGAAAAAAAAATATAGAGGTTGGAAGTTAGAAGATGTTGAATATAAAAATGGAATACTTTATGTAAGTTAGTTAAAAAATACTTTTAAACTTTCTAACTTGTTAATGCCCAGCATTGTTAACAACCTAAATAGTTAAAAATAAACATATGTTGTAAATATACAATATTCAACTATTTCATTATTTTTTTAAAGTTAGAATAAGTGAGGTTTTCAGAACTTATAATTTTAAAGACATTTATTTTGTTTTATATCAGGTCATACTAGTTTTGGGTTTAAAACGTTGACTATCATGTGACCGCTATCGATCACCTGATAATATTATGTATTATGATGTATTATATATGTATTTGCACGATTATCGACACGATGACACACCAAGTATATTTTTCCATGTCATTCCAAATTTGTATATACTATTATATTTAAAAAATATAAAAATAAAATATTTATTACATCGAAAAATTGTAATGATTCCCACTACACCACAACACTTTTTTTAGTACATTATTGTAGCGTCATAGAAAAGTTAATAATATAAAACCATATTAATTTACGGTCAACGGAGGTCATGTGGCTTGGTAGTAATGATAAATTATGGGTGTCGGCGGTCACAAGAGTATACAATTTGAGATTTACAGAAGACCATACATGACAGTCAACGTGTTATAACTTAATTCGGAGATACATCAATGTCTGTGGTTAAAACTTTCCAATTAAATCTTTTATTAATAGAGTTAGTTAAGGGTGGAACTGGGGGATCCACAAATGTCCAATCATTAATTCCATCAGTCATTAAAGTTACTAGGCCACAATAAGGGATATCTTTAACCATTTTTACAAAATTTTGTTTATTACGTGGAGATTTATGAAGTAACGATCTTGAAAAGGAGTCCAATGAACAAGCATGACCTACAAGCAATATATCACCACCTAAAAAAAAAAATTTTTTAATGTATACAATATTATATTAAATATTACTATGTACATTATATAATATAGTAGATTCTGAGTGGTGCAATGAATCTATTAGCTTAACAGTGATGTGTTTTTTTGGTTTGACGTCAACTTTAGGAGAAGTAAATATACAATCTTCAACATTGAGTGCTTTCTGTAGACAATTGGATCTAGATGAGATGAATTAAAAAAATGCATGGAAAAATAAGAATATTTAAGCAAACCCAGTTTTTGACAAAATGAATATAGATGAATACTTTTTCACAAAATATTAGTGTTAACTTTTCTGAAACGTAAAATTATTTTCAAGATATGTTTTCTTTTTTTTAACATTTTAAGTTTTTGAATTTTCTAATAAATGTAAATAATAAAATTGTTCTCAGTCAAAAACATTGAAACTTTAATACTTCCCTACAAGTTCTTATAGCAATTGAAAAATATCAAAAATACATATGCAAAATTTATTTTTTATAAGCTTTTGATGTTTAAATTTTTACGATATTGTATATTGTATATTAAAATAAAAATTAAGAATTTTGTTCTAACAATTTTAGTGATTTGGTTGTAATTTAAAAAAAAAATCGGAAGGAATTGAAACTTTTTTATTAAGTACAAAAAAATATCCAAACACAAATTTAAAAATACTAAGATTAGTTATAAATATTAATTACCATGTATAAATATGTATCTATGAGACTATTCATATCGTTATAATATGGTATATTGCCATATTGGTATTGACTTAACAATTAGTAAGCTACAGTAGTCACTTGATAATTCGAAAAACTCCATAAATCGTACTAAACACTGAGTCCTCTGAGAAAACCTCTATAATTAGAAGAAAATACATGTATTCCGGTCCCCTCGATAATTCTAAATATCTGTTGATGGGACACACTCTACGATTCAAATTTTTTTCCACCAACCTTCTTAATTCAAATTACATACATGTGTACACATAAGGATTATTTACAATCTATTTGACGTACTGGTAATGAAACTATTAACGACGGTGGTTATATATTATCATAGTTTATACATTTTATCATACATTACTTACCTAATTTAAACTTTAATATGTATGTATAATAAATAAATGTAATATATACATACAATTTTTCACCTCTCTTTAATTCGAATTAATTTATTTTCCCTCGATTATTCGAACACTTGGTAAATTGAAAACCTCTATAAATCAAATTTTTAACTAGGTCCCCTGAATTTCGAATTATTCAGTGGCTACTGTATTATGATATAAAATTGTATATAATTTGTTTTGGGCAAAAATTAGTTCAACCTACTGATGGAACGATAAATGAATAATAAAATATCCTTAGAAATAGAGCCTGACACCACTATCTCCACTCAGAACCGTCATTTGTATGCAATGCTTTATCATTGAATTCAAATTTAACATATCCATTACAGTGACCTAATCAATAACTAGGCACACTCAAAACCACAAATAAAGACATTTAGGATACCGAACAGACATGTGATAAGTGAAGCCCGAACCTTCTCACTGTTTCACACAAAATAATTGTCATGCCAAACAGTGAGAAGCGGGCGGACTCAAATAAACATTGATAAGACCTTTCTATTCTGTATCCTGTATATCTTAATTCTTGCTCAAAACATACAACAAAGTGACGTTTTTGTTTAATTTGTTACCTTTGGGTTCAGTTGATTTGATTAAATTTTGTATTACATCATCACATCTAATATAATACTGTTCAACTGTTTCTGACATATTATCAATTAGGAATGGCAATGATACTAAAGCTTCATACTTGGAATTAATATTAAAATCAGCAGCTATTAACTCTTCATTACTCATCCAATCAGGTAGCCCAGACTGATTATACCAACCAAGCCATTCAAATATACCAGGTTCAATACAAATCGAAACTTGTTTATCAATATCAAGTCCTATATGAAAAATTTTACATTCAAATTAATATACACATTGTCATTTTATTTTTTATTAATAATAATTTATGTATATATATATATTATATATATATTACAAACCAACTAAGATATTGTGGCAAGTTTGAACACAGCGCAATGATGGTGAACAAAACACATGTTGAATTGATTTGGTTGAGTGAGCAGCTTTCATACCCCATCCAGTTAATTTAGCTTGATATTCACCAACACAAGTGAGAGGAGTATCGGTTTGGTAAGAGTTTGGAAAATCCCGCCGTTGAGGAATATTTGGGGGCATGTTTAAATCTTTTCTGACATATTTCCCATCTGAATCGAAACTATAAGGCACCCAAGTTCCAAAAGTGAAATCTACTCTTTCTCCATGTCGACATATGTATATTTTTTGAGATTTGGGGCCTTTTGGCGATTCTGAATGAGGTCTGTAATCAGCTGGAACAAAACTAGTACCATATTTTTCAACTAATTTTTCTTCAGTCATATTTGTTTCATTAACTTCAATAGATTCATGGTAACTACCATCTAAGGGTAATGAACTGCAAAAAATACATTTAAAAATTATTGGTTGCTAATTTTAATGTAATAATACATTTTACCAATGTAGAGTCCATGTATCAGATTCAGCAGTACGTTCAGTGTAACATAGTGGAAAGTAACCATTACATCCTGTAAACATTTTCAGAAATTCAGAATTTATTTAGAACTTGAAATTACATGTCTATTTATTACCAGTTAACCATGACATTCCTTCAGCCCAACCATCAACAGAGTTATCTATGCTTTCTTTAGAAACATATATATAATCACCTATTCTTAGTTCTAGTTCATCAGCAGATTGTGGGACATGTGCATACACAACCTTATATACCTAAAATATTTTATATGTTTTACATAATATGCTATAACAACTTAACTAATAATAATCATACAATATTTGAAACAAAATAAAATTTATACTAACCTGTTTGTAAGCAGCTAATGCTTCTCTAGAATATAACTTTAATTCCCATAAACATGGAGTTGATGGATTTATTGTGGATTTAATTAATGATTTCAAAGTTTCTTTTTGGCTTACATCAAACTGATAGGCCAGAGTTAAATGTAAAGATTTTAAATGAGGATCTACTTGAACTCCAACTGGAACAAGTAATAACAAATTAAACTATGAGCTATTTAAATTTAAAATGTAATATCTAACCATAAAATGAGGTAATATGGGGTATTGACATTCAATATTATTTTATTGAAACATTGTTTTTTTTTTTTGTTTTAATCATTGATTGTTAATAGTAAACTATAGATCAGCTAGGAAAAAGTTTCAGAATGGTGACACTACTTTAAAACTTAAGAATGCATGATTTGGTTCAAGATACATGCTTATCAATTCGGAAAGGATGGACTACACCATTAAATTCTAAACAATATTTACTGAAAAATGACACTAACTTTAACTTTTATGCCAAATTTAAATTTTAAAAACCAAAAATCGTTATTTTGATAGACTAAATTACATTTTTTTAATTATAAATTTATGAGTGATTTAACTGTTTGAAACTTCTAACTGTCAATATATTTGAACTTTGTGGAACTAGTGACTATAATTTCTTCCACAAATTAATTCAAGGTTTAATTCTTTACCAATTATTAAGGAAGAAATAAACATTAGACCCAGATACATGAGGCCCAAGGTACAAAACTCTACACTACTATAATAAATTTAGATGTGAAAATGTTAGACAGTTAGACGCAACCACTTTCCTACTAGATAATTCTCAGTGTCGTTTAGTCCCTACTGCATTTTCTTTGTACATATTACAATTATAAATAAAACATGTTATAATATAAATATTGGCTTAAATTTACCAAGCTCTGTAATTCTTTCTGCATATAGTACTGCAATTTTTTTTAAAAAGCTTGATCCTTGATCAGATAAAAAAAAACCCATAAAATTTGATGAAGTGTAAGTTTCTAAATGAAAGTCATTGACTGTCATTTCTTTAATGACTTCATCTAAAACATTTTTTAGTATAGATACTAGTGTATTGGCATATTCATCAGGTACCTGTAAACAATATTTATATAATTTGACTTAGTTTAAATATTTGATTTAAATGTTCCATAGTTATAAGTATACAAAATAATTCATAATTACCTGAAAAAATGATACTAGAGTAATATGTGGCAAAAAATTATGAGCTCCATTACGTCCACACTTATTAGCTGATTTATTCCAAAATTCCCTTAACTCATACATAAATGATCCACTTGGACAGGCATAGATTATATACTCTCTACTAGTGCTGGAATCTAATGAAGTATCATTGACATGAGCCAAGAGCCAATCGGCAGCTAATTGGACTCCTCTATTGCCGGTAGCTGCTAATGCTTTTTCTCTATTAAAATAAAATACAACATAATATGTATGATATTGATGTTTAATAGTATCAAACAGTTTATCTTACGTTCGATTTTGGGGGAACCCCATTTGTAAAAGGGTTTCAAGGGGCGTCATTGAATGTTTACAACTCTTTTCAGTTGACACGGTCTTCGTTTTCCGAGGTGGAAGCATAGCCATTATAATTTAGTTAAGAGTTGCAGTGTAGGGGGTTGTATCGATGTAAGTTCAACTAGATGGAATTTGTTTAATTCCAAGCATTGAAAAACATACAATTAATACTGAAATAGTGAAATATTCGTTACCGACAAACAAGTAGTGAGTACGAGTGTCGAGTTTGAGTACCGCACTACCGTCTAGCACACAGACGGATTCGATATGGACTATATTTAATTTACTATTAAGTATTAACACAGAATATATTATATATTTCATCTATTCTGTGCTATAATTATAATATCACCGTCCGCCGACCACCAGTACCGGGACTCCGACGACCGACAGCAACGAAAACTACGATAACACCATACTTAATTATTTATTATTTACATCATACAATATGGATAACACTAAAATAGTAAATAAATACATTTTTCGAGTTTGAGGTTATTTGAAAAATATTTATTTACACTTTTTTTATCATTTATGTTGACGTTTCTGATAACATCTTCATGTAATTTAAGCGTTAGCGGTTGTCTGTGTCTCTGTTGTCTTCCTGCTACGAATTGCAATCGCGCTCTTTAATCTTTTTTCTATACTCTACAAACTCAATTCTGAATTCTTCACCTTTACACTAACTAGTTATATAGTATTGAAACGTTTAAAACCAACTTACTGGAAAAATGGCTCAAGGAATGGTTTTTGAAGATATCTTCAATGTAAAAGACATAGATCCAAATGGCAAACAATTTGATCGAGGTAAACATAACTATTTACATATTTATTATATTATAATAATGCTGGTGTGTTTAGTCCACAGATATCATATAAAGTTTAGCCTTTATGGATATTTGGTGATTGCCAGTTAAATTTAATTATTCTTTAAATATTTCCCACTAAAATATTAGTTTAAACTACTCATGATTTTTTCCTACATAATATATATTTGTTTATTAATTAGTTTAAATAGATATAGGTAATCTATTGGTTATAAGTAGGATTATCATACTAATAATTCATTAGTAAAATATAAAGGTTAAACATGTTGGTGACTTTTAGTCATGTTGGATTGAACAGTGGATTTTTTGATAGTGTAAAAGGGGTCCAGTCGCACTGGTCAATAGCTGTTCTTGGTACTTGTTTAAGTATAAACCAGTGGTTCTCAACCAGTTTGACATTTGGACATGTCAGCATGAGGTGGTGTAAAATCTTGTGGAAAAGAAAAATACATTGTTTTAAATCAAGTCTTACTATTGTCTCGATCCTTGTGTAAATACCACCACTGCCGATCCAAGATCCCCAATCACCACTCTCCACATTAAATACCGTTGGCTATTGACAAAAGATAATGCTCTTTCAGTTTTCAATAACCGGGTTATGTGAACATAGATTTAGTGAACTCATAAATAATTAATATGATGGATAAAACGACTTGAAAAAATACCTTAAAGCACAGCAGTGGTAGGTAGATGATGTATGAGCCTCTCTCTTTCCATCGTCCCTTGAATTACCCAATTTTGTAAAATAACCGGATTCAAAATTTTAAAATTAATTTTTTTTTTTTTTGGCTTTGTCATTAGTCATTGCTCATTACATAATATATATTTTTTTTATTATTAGATAAATAGAATATTTAAAATCTGTAATTTTTATATATACAATAAGTAAATTAGGTAATGAAAGAAACAATAATAATTAATAACACGAATGGCTTGAGGAGGGAGGCCCACCAGTGTGGGTACCCTCTAACTTGGGGAGAGGGATGTCATGGAGTAGACGAAATGAGAAGTGTAATTTTGTTAATTAGGGAAGTAAGAGCCAATAGAAGAGGGTTTAAAATACATTTTAAATCTTCTATAAATTTATTGATGATGTGGAGAGGTTGATTGACTGATGAAGAGTTGGCTGTGGCTTTGGCATAAGATGTCGGTTTTGATTTGAGTTGTAACTGGGGACGTTGAAGATTTTTGGTGCAACAGGTACAGCAGATGGTGGGCTGGGATGTTTTTTTCGGTTTTTCAACTTTGTCAGCTTTGTAAGCGACTTTGTAAATGGTGCGCTTTAGTAAATTTTTAAAAATTTGACAACCTTTATAGTTGGCAGTGTGGTTACCTTCGCAGTTGTTAACGGGTTCTTCCCGTGTTTTAGTGCAATCTTCGGTGAGGTGGCTTAACCCACATTTCACGCAACGCGGAGGTTGGTGGCAATAATTGCGTGTATGTCCGTACATTTGACAAGAGTGACATTGGGGAGGACTAAGTGGCCTTATTGGATGCTCGAATTTCACAATTGAGTTAAACAATTTGTTTATTTTGAAAATGTCGTTGTTATTGCTGTTGCGGGCTAGGGAAATATTGAATAACATAATATTTATATTTTTAATTTGTAAAAATCTTCACTTTAAGAAAACTTAAAACCAGTAACTATGTAAAATATTAAAATATTAAAATGCTCATAACTAGTTTTAAATTTAAATATCAATAAAAGCTTGTGTGATACCTTAGTGATATTCTTACCTTTAAATTTGATAATACAATAAGTCAATTGACTACTAGATATTATAATTTTAAGCTATCAATACAAAATTGGTTCTGCTGAACGCAGATTTGCTATGTTGTACGTTTGTAAGATGGAGACTACACAACAGGTTGAAATAAGCCTCATCTTAATGACTTAATCTAACCTACAACTAAAATAAAATGTTTGTTTATTATTTTTAATAAAATAAAAGTTGTTTATGTTTATATTCTAAAATCTAATTTTAAGACATTTTAAGATTATTGTATATTTTGGTCCTATGGGTACACATCTTCATGTATTATACAGGTTGAGAATCAGCGGTATAAACATTATATTTTATTAATTTCTAGTGCAACGTAAAGTTAAGTTCAAAGTTATGAAAGAAAACTTTGAACACTGTAAACTTGGTTTTTTATTATGTACAGGAATGAAGGATTTTGAATTAATTTTTTAGCTTACCTATAATTTACATTTTTATTATAATCTTGCTATACCTACTAACTTATGATTACTTTTTTATTAATTTCAATTTTTTAATTCAGGAAAGAACAATGAAGCGCATAACTAAAATGTTACAATTGCTTTTGTAGCTAAATATTGTTATTATACCTATCTGAGTGGATGATTTTGTTTACATATTTATTATATTGTTGTTGACAAAATAACATTCTGGTGGTAGGTAATTTAATAGTTTTGATACAACTTGATTGTGTTTTATGTATAAAATATATTACCCAAGTACTCGCTAGTACAGAATTGTACACATTTTTGATCTACCTAACTTTTATATATTTTCTTCTATTTAGGTAAATCTAGTTATTTTAAAAGCCAGTTCTACAAGTACTTTGTGTAGTAAGATACATGTCTTATAAATATAAGCCTAAAACATAAGTAAAGATATTATGTTAGTTCTTAAGTTTTTATTAAAAGACTTAATATTAATAATAAAAATTAAAAGTTAATTTGAGTTCAATTGGTTACTTCTAGTAGGCAATTAATTGTTAAACAAATGTAGTAAAAATGTAAAAGTGTAGAAATACAGATAAATCATGATTATTTTTTTTATATACCTAGCACTTATGTATTAATATAATTAGTAATTACCAACTATTAGTCTCATATAATAATATAGAACAGTTCATTTAACAGCTAAATTTTTAAACATATTCTTTAAGTCTCGCTTTAAGTTTTTATTGTACATTTTAATAATTATTTTAATTATTTATTAATTTAAAATATTATCTATATAAATATTTTCAAACGTTAACACTTTCTAGTGATACTTGTGCAAACTATTTAGTATTCACTATTCATTCAACCTTTCTAATCTCCCATCACTAATTTCTTGAAACAAATTCAAATTAAACAGTATTTTAAATTGTAGTACCATGAACAGTTTAATTGTTTTTTAAGCAAGTATTTGTTTTTATATCTTTTTATGTTAACAATTTTAATTATCAAAATAATATAATATTACTATACTTTATTAAAACATTTTAAGTTGATCGGTGGTGGACAGTTTTTAAGGAGTTCAAATTCGGCAATTTTCAAATTGCATGCACGCTGCCCGCGGGTCTTGTAAATGTGTACGTAGTAAGTGATAATTTGTGTATGTGACTGAGTGTAAAAGAAATAGTAGAGCGTTCCCGTCTGCGCAAGTACAAGTCACTGCACTCAGTGGCATTGGGCGCGTAAACGGTAAACAATTTATGCTCATTTGTATGTATTTTGTTCCATACTTCCTAATAATGCTATAATTTTTCAGAAAACTGATCTGAACTCGTTATAATGTCTACTTGAGATCGGTCAGTCCACATTTTAAGATTACTGATTTAAATTCCGAATAATCCAAAATTCCGAAAATTTCGAAATATTCAAACTAAATTTATAGTTGTTGGTGGGGAGGGGGGAGGGTGAAATTGAGAAAAGTGGACTGATAATTCTCAAGTAGACATAATAACAAATTCAAATCAGTTTTAAAAAATATCATAGAACTACTAAGTCGATCAGTATGATAGAATAAAGATTGATATGTTTTGGCTAAAATAACTGTCCACCGCCGATCCCCTTAATGTGAAACTATTTATAGGTTTGTAATTTGGAAAAAATTAAAAAAAATGACATGAAATATAGACACTTACATTGGGCATTTATCTTGCTTCACTTTCTGGGTAGTATAGAATATTATATTTTTAATAATTATTATAAATAAGAATACAATAATAAATAAGGACATTTGAAAAACTGTAGATTTACACAGATGATATAGTTTTAACCTTAAAAGTCATTAAATAAAATAATAATTTGTTTTTCTTTTAATTGGTTACTAGAGAGAATGGACTTTGCTTTCTACTCAAATGTTGAGTATTTGTTCATGATTATAATAAATGTATTATAATGTCAAATATTAATACCCAAATGCCAAACCATTGAATTATTATAAATAAATTATTATATCTTGTAATTATATTGTATAATAAACATTATATGTCCATTAATTGAATAAAATAAAATAAATTATACTTGATTAAAAAATGTATTAATATTTTAAGTCTTATTAATGCTCAATTATCTAAAGTAAGTGGTTTTTCTCACACAAAAAAAAGGTTCTAATAAATTAAAAAGATATCTCCAAGGTTATCTCTTGTAAAGTTCTTTTCTTACAATATTTAGAAATTTGTAATTACTTAACTCTTGGAACTTTTAGAGCACTTCTATTAAGAAAAATAAACATAGATTGCATACATAAATTTTGCTCATTGCTCAGGATCTATAACAAACAACTCAAATTTCATGGTTTGCTTAGATTTTTTAGATTTTTGAAGTTCTCTGTGTAAATATTTCTGGACATATAAATACCTTCCACAAAATGTTAGGTTCACCAAAATGTTTGCTAAGTACTTAAACTATCTCATAAAATATTTTCTGTTAAAAAATATTTAAACCTATTTTACTCTAATTTTTAAACTAAGACATTTAGTTCTTTTGTAATCAAACTGCCTTTTTTTTATTTAACGAAATAAAAATGTTTTTGTTAACCAACCCACAATTGTTGCATTTTATTCTGGTATATTATTTTTCTTTATTACAATTATAATTAAAAAACTTAATCCGACATCGTTTCTTGACTACGATTTATTTTAAAATAATCTGTAGTTTGCTGATTTTGAAGTTGAGCACGTAAAATGCAAAGGCGCAATAAAAATGTTGTTCTTAGCCCCATACAATATATTATTTTT